AAGCCCCTCGTGCTTCTGGGTTTTCTGTCTGGGGTCTTCGGAGCCTCCACGGGACCGGGACTGCGCCTGGCCCGCGGTAGGTCCCTCGGTAGCGTGCGCTGGCCGGGGTTCAGGCTGTCTGGGCAGCCCCCCGGGCGGAACGCTCCTGGGGGAGGCGGCAGCCCCCAAGCCGTTCCCTGCAGGGGAAGTTACCCCCGGGCCTGGTCTCAATCCGGTGAGCTTCCTGCATGGCTGCCCACAGCTGCTGCGCGCATTCCGGTTTGCAAACGACACGGAGAGCCACTGAGCAGGGCTAGGGGACACGGGCCACGCAGGGATGTAGAGCTCGGGGACCGGTAGCCTGCCCACAGCCACTCCTGGAAGCGTCAGGACTGGGGCTCTGACCCAGGCTTCCTAATGCCAGGTGCACTGCTCCTTCCAACACCGCGCGAGTTGCCTCAAGTTCAAAGGGAAAAGGGTTTAGAAGGGATCGGTGTGTCCTAGGGCGCGCGTAGCCAAAGGTCCGGGATCCCCGAGCCCAGACCCCAGACACCTCGGAGGAGCCAACCCGGGCATTCTGCGGCGGTCGGCGCACGCGCCGCCGGCACGCTCGCCGCGACTCCGCGGGCAGGGCGCTAGAGAACGCGCTGGCTGTTTCTGGCACGCTGAGGCCACCGTACGGCATCCAGGATCCCGTGTGGTAGTTAGCGGGCCCCCGGAGCCTGACGCTGCGACCCTCTACCTGGCCCGGTGCAGTGGACAGCGACCCGAGAAGGCCTGCGTCTTCCTGCCACCCGCGGGCTCCGGGAGGCGGCGGGGGCGGCGTTTGTCACGTGACCCGAAGGGCGCCGAGCGCGCCCCGCCCCACTGCCGGGGGGGGGTGGCTGAGGTCTGCGCATGCGCGCGTGCGGCAGGCTCGCCGGCTCGCTCGCTCGCGGTCCTGCGGGCGGGCGGCTGCGGGGCTTGGGGCCTGAGCGCCTGCGGCGATGGGTGAGTGCGGGGCCGAGCGTGAGGAAGCGCGGAGCTCCCCTCGGCCTCCGGGGGCAAGGCGAGGGCGGCCGCCCTCCGAGGCGGCCAGCGGGTCCTCCGCGCGCGCGCTGCGCCCCAGCGGCTCCCCAGGCCCGGCGGCTGCAGGCCCCGCCCGGGTCGGCGCGCGCGGGCTGGCCTGTGGGCCTCCGGGATGCAGGGCGGCGTCTCCGGCGGAGGAGGCTGAGCGTTCTTTGGGGCGCGCCCCGAGAACCGTCCGGGCGCGCCCCGAGAACCGCCCGGGCGGGGAGGGGCCGGCTCCTCGCGGAGTCCGCCTGCCCGGGCGTCCGGCCTGCGTCCCCGGGGACTCCTGGCTCCGGACCGTCGGAGACCGAAGGGGCGTTGGTGCTAGGGATCGGCTGCGACCTGCTGCCGCCTTGTCACCGACCGGGGAAGAGACGCCCCGAGAACGCGGGCTGTGCAGGGCTTTCCGGGGCGAGCGTGGCGGCGCACCAGCTGTGTGTACGCTCTGCCCAGCGGGTCTTCAGGCCCACCCGTGTCCCGCCTCTCTGTCGTCCGGGAAAGCCCGGGAAAGAGGGTGGTTCCCTCGCCAGGTCGAGCCTTCTTCGCGCTTGCTTTGTCCCGGAGCCGTTCCGGATCCCGCGTAGGCGCCTCGGAAATCCCTCGCGCATCACAAGGGAAATTAACCGCTGTTTACCTCGGAGAGGCGCTGATTCACCTGCTGCGGACGTGAGCTCCGAGTAGTGGACTTTGTGTTTGTGGCGGCAGAGACGTGGGGTCGCTAGGACTCGAACCCGGGCCGGGCTCGCTCTGAATGCTGACTGTTGCGGATTCGCATCCTTGGAGACGTGCGGTCACCCTCCACCTAGTTTTTGCAGTAAGACCTTTGCGCCGGGGTCACATCTGGAGCGTGCAAGTCCGTGTGGGTTGTAAATCACAGCGAGTATTTTGAACTTTATACCTTCTTCTGCCGCGCAAGTTTGACACCAGCGGTCACTTGAAAGTCAGCTTTGCCTCCTTATGTCGAGGTCCGGTGTCTTAGGTAGCCAGCAAGGGTAAAGTTACAGAGATTAATTTTGCAGTGACTTGCAAAGAGTTATCCTTGTGAAAGGGTTTACGTACTGCAGGCAGTTTAGTAGAGAAGCGTAGCCTTGTTCGCAGTGTAGGTAAACTGCTCAGAATTCCAGGCTGTGTTGCCACAGAGCGAGGTGACTCTGTCCTCCCATGGCGAAGCTAAGAGCAGGTTCACACCTCACACCGTAGCGTGAAGAATGAAACTCGTGGGAAAGCTGTGCATCTCTGATGTCCAGGCGGCTTTCGGCTTTCCTAACACCCCTCTTTCCCAGGAGTCTGGCTTTGAAATCAGAATCTGAATGTGCTTCAGAGTTCTTAAATCTCTTAAAACGGGCCAGCGCTGTGGCGCAGCAGGTAAAGCTGCCACCTGCAGTGCCGGCATCCCAGATGAGCAAGTTCAAGTCCTGGCTTCTCCGCCTCTCTCTCCACGCCTAATCCAGCTCTCTGCTAATGCGCTGGAAAGCAGCTGGTGAAAGCCCAAGTGCTTGGGCCTTGAGAGACCCCAGTGGAGCTCCTGGCTCCTGGCTCCAGCCTGGCCCAGCCATGGCTATTGCGGCTCTCTGGGGTATGAACCAGCAGATGGGAGATCTGTGTCACACACACGCACCCGCCGCCCACTCAGTTACAGTGAGAGAGAGAGAGCTTCCGTCCCCTGGTTCACTCCCTAAATGGCTGCAACTCCAGAGCTGGGCCAGGCCAAAGCCAGTAACTTCTTCTGGGTCTCCTATGTGGGTGCAGATGCTTGGGCCAGCCTCTTGCTGCTTTCCCAGGCACCCATGTGGGATGCTGGCGTCACAGGTGGCAGCTTTGCCTGCTGGGCCACAACTCCAGCCTCTAAAACTTTTTTTTTTTTTTTTTAAGATTTGTTTGTTTGAAAGAGTTACAGAGAGAGAGAGGTCTTCCATCCGCTGATTTCACTCCCCAGATGGCTGCAACGGCCGGAGCTGCACCAGGAGCTTCCTCTGGGTCTCCCATGTGGGTGCAGGGGCCCAAGCACTCGGGCCATCTTCTACTGCTTTTCCAGGCCGTAGCAGAGAGCTGGATTGGAAGAGGAGCAGCCGGGACTAGAACCAGTGCCCATATGGGATGCTGGCGCTTCAGGCCAGGGCTTTAACCTGCTGCGCCACAGCACCAGCCTCTAAAACCTTTAAAAAGAAATTTTTGTATAATAGTTTGATACGGTAGTCTATAAATGACTGGCTAGCTTCTGTTGGCCATGGTTTTCTGGTTTATTACCAAGACTCATTTCAGACTGAGTGAAGTAACTTTAATTTGCACAATTAGAGAAAGTAATACAAATACCATTCCAGTAAAAATGAAAAGTAAACATGGAAAAACTCACATTGTTGTTCAGGGGCATGGATAATTTGGTTCTGACTGTCAGGGAACATATTGCCAGCTTGGATGTGGTGACTGTAGGATTTAGAATCGAGTGTTAGGAGTTCAGTGTGTAAAAGTGCAATGTTTCTGGCGTTGGGGTGGTTGCACTGTTGGGATAACCGTGCACATGTTAGGATAAATATTTTTGAAGGGAGCAGGTGTTTAGCCTGCAGGTTACAATGACTGTGTCGCACTCAGCTCCTGGGTGCGGTTCCCGGCTGTGACTCTGGCCCTGCCGATGGCTCTGGTCTAAGAGGCAGGCATGGTGACGGCTCAGGTCGTTGGGTTCCTGCCTGCGCTGTGGGACACCTGGATGGCTCAGGCCTGGGGGAGTGAACCAGCGAGTAGGGGGCTTGCTCTCCTGCATGCCAGCTCACTCTTGCTCGCTCTCTGCTTCTCAAATAAAAACTTCAGATATGTATTTCTCATGATCTTACCATTTTTTAATTCTGAAGCCTTAGGAAGAGCAAAGCACCACGTAAGTGTCAAGCATTTCTTTGATGAGTTTTTCATTTCTAAGTGTTGGTTACGGCGGGTGTCGGGGCTCAGTGGGTTAGGCCGCCTGCGTGCATATCGGAGCCCCAGTTGGAGTTGCAGCTCCTCCGCTTCCTCCAGCTTCTTGCTAGTGCACCTGGAAAGCAGCAGGCGAGGGCTCCAGGAAGGGGTCTTGGCCGTGACCCAGATGGAGTTCTGTCTCTGGCTTTGGTCTGGCCCAGCCCTGGATGTTGCAGGCGTCTTGCAGAGTGAACCAGCAGATAGAAGGTTGGCCTGTGTCTGTCTCTACTTTCCAAGTAGATGAAAATAAGAAGCTTTTTAAAAGACGTGGTTAATTGAAGACTGTACTAACCTGAGTTTTTAACTCATGCCAGATCAACAGAAAGGGTAAAAAGATGTGGCAGACTAGGAGATTAATAGTGACCGATGCAGCTCAGCACCATGGCAGACTTCTCATGTGTCTGCAGAGCATTTTCTGAAGTTGATCATACGAAAGCCACAAAACAAGGGGACAGATGACATTCTGGGAGCGCTGTGATGCTGGCTTTTAATCCTGTGTTTACTGCAGATAACAGCATCAGTGTGACTAACTGGAAATTCCAAAACACTTAGAAGCAACGCCAGTAAAATCAAATGTAATAAAAATTTTGCTCAAAAGCAAATGCACAGCCTTAAACACTCCATCAGACTATAAAACAAAATAACTGTATAACTTGAGAAATGAAAAGCAAATTTAAAAATGGAAGCCGTAATAGATTGCTGATAGAGCAGGTTCTGTGCTGGGCTTAGGAGGAGTATGAAAGTAGATAAACTGGTTACTCTGCTGGGAAATTAGGGAACATAAATACACAAGGTTGCAAGTCGTTTTTTAAAACAGCAAACGCTTTATAAGGCTGTATAATTTAACCCAGATTTTCTTTTTTTTTTTTTTCCCCTCTAGGAAACCTAGTTATTAGAACCAAGTGCCAAAGAGAGAACCTAAGGAACCAGTAGCATGGAAAGGGTCGGGAGAGTTAGCAGAAGTCCGGGGGCCCTCGGTGCAGCAGGCCCCGCTGGCGCTGCAGGTGAGCTCGCTTAGGCTCCCAGGGAACGGGTCGCTGACAAGACTGAAGTTGCTCCACGGCATAAGGACACTGATGCTGGAGCTGACGTGAAGATAATACTCAAATCAGAAACTTGATGTGAGAGGAAGAGTAAAGCAGAATTTAAAAGCGGTTGTTAGCAAGTGACGCCTAGCACTCCATTCAAAGAACAGAGTTCCTCTCGGTAAAACAAGCGAGCGCTAGGCTAGCGGAGCGCAGCCTCCGACTTCGGATTGTTAGGCCTGGTGATGTCTCACTTTCGTGATGGTGCGAAAATGATGCGCGTTCACTGGCGACTGCTCCCTGAGTTTTGATCTGGGGTGGCGGAGGCCAGCAGCTCATCCGCTGTGCTGTGCTGTGCTGTGTTCCACGGTGGGTTGAGTATATTAAGTTCATTTTTGAGTAGGGTGTTCTCAATTTATGGCGCGGCTATTGGGACACAGTCCCCCCATAAGTCCAGGAATAGCCGCGTGGCCAAAGCTTCAGAAAAAGTAGTGGGAGCAGCTTGTCCTTGTCCTTGTCGCTGCGTTTCCTCTGCTGAGCCAGTCCGTGAGCAGGCAGCGGCGTGTTTATCAGTGAGGAGACAGCCACAGACGTGGAGTGAAGCCACAGGTCACGCAGGAGATGCGGCGCTGAGCCTGTGCGAGGCAGTGCTTCCCAGAGGCCATGCTGTTCCGTGCTGGCCCGTTTCTGTGTCATCCTCCCAGGGGCTTCCTAGAAGCATTTCACCGAAGTTCAAGATCGACCGAACAGTTTGTGCTGATGGGGCACAGCAGTGTGCGTTCCCTCCCGTGCTGGACCGTTCTGTAAGAGAACCAGAAAAACGAAGTCTATTTTAGTGGGAGTCTCAGTTCTGTAATAAGCGGTGGGAGCAAAGGTCTGCGTTTTCATTGCAACTAATCTAAGAACAAGTGCAGAGTGACGTTCTGTGCTTTTAGCGTCCCTTGTCAGATGACAGAAATTACACGAACGGGCCCGGGACCCAGCCCTCATGCCCGCAGCACGGTCCTAGGGCTGGGCAGGGGTGGGTGGTAAACAGGAACCAACCTTACGTGGGTCAGCTGTGTCATGATGATTGGTTTCCCTGTTGAACCCTCAGATGACGAGAACTTCCTGTTTTCGAACCAAAAGCCAGTGTCACGTTTACTGCTGATCGCCAGCAGAGTGCCCAGGGAAGTCCAGAGAAACAGAAGGGTGCTCACCATTGCCACAGTTTAATTTTGCTCAGGAAGATTGCTAGCGCAGTAAGAAGGAAGGAAGCAAGAGCTGTATTGCTCAAAAGAAGGCAGAAGGGTTTGTCAGAGCTGAAACAGATCTTCCAGAAAGCCGAGGAATAGCTGGAGGGTTCAGTTGGCTGATTGTGACCTCAGTACCCAAGAACGGACAGCTGGCTCGCGCAGAGAGAGACGCACTAGAGAATTACTGCTGGAAGGGAGCGGCCTGTTGATAATGAGTGACTGGAGAGGTGAGCACACCGACATGTCAGAAGAACCCAGACCTACACGAGCAGAGCTGTAGGTGCTGCAAGGTTTGTACGTGGGAAGACGCCATGCCACCCACTATAAGTTTGAAAAGGTGGCAGCTGGGGCCAGTGCTGTGGCGTTAGAAGTTAAACCTCTGCCAGCAACACTGGCATCCCATATGGGCGCCAGTTTGAGACCTGGCTGCTCCTCTTCCAATCCAGCTCTCTGCGTATGGTCTTGGAAAGCAGCGAGGATGGCCCAAGTGTCTGGGCCCCTGCACCCGCGTGGGAGATCTGGAGGAAGCTCCTGGCTTTGGATCGGCCCAGCTCTGGCCATTGAGGCCGTTTGGGGAGTGAACCAGTCGATGGAAGACCCTTCCCTCCCTCCCTCCCCCCCTCCCCTTCTCCCCCTCTCCCCCTCTCCCCCTCTCCCTCCCTCCCTCTCTCTCTCTCTCTCCCTCCTCCTCCCTCCCTCCCTCCCCCCCCCAACTCTACCTCTCAAATAAATCTTAAAAAGGTAGAAGCTTTTAAAATTTCCAATATAAATTACCAATAGGATTTTGGGAGAGGAAGATGACCCCCCACACACACACCAAAAAAAAAAAAAAACCACTGAAATGTACGTGGGAAAACAGAATTCAGAATTCGCAGAAATTCTGCTACGAGTAGAACAGGGAGCTCTCCTAGGTAATGAAATAGCTTCCGGTGTTGTAATAGGTAAAGCAGTTTAGTACTAGGGAGGAAGTACTAGGTTATTAGTGGAGAAGAATGGAATGCAGAGAGAAAAGCAAATGCCTGTGGGTGTTTAAATTATGCAAACCACCGTTGAAAAGAAAATCCATTAGTCAGTGATGCTGGCAGTCTCTTATCTTTGTCTCGCTCCTTGTACAGAAAGTTCCCAGAGGTTGCCAGTGCGGGTGATAAAGGAAGCCTTGGATGATGTGGAAACAGCCTGGGTCAGCTACTTTCAATTTTGGAGTAGTAAAGGCCTAAGGAGGGCCTAAGATCTAGAAGCCAGGAAGACAGTTCTTGATTTTTTTAAAAGATTGATTTGAAAGGCAGAGTTACAGAGAGGGAGAGACAGAAAGAGAGAGCTTCCGCCTGCTGGTTTACTCCCCAAATGGGCACAGTGACCAGGGCTGGACTAGGCTGAAGCCTGGAACTCCATCCAGGTCTCCTACTTGGGTGACAGGGGCCCAAGTGCTTGGACCGTTCTCCACGGGTTTCCCAGGCTCATTAGCTGGGAGCTAGATGAGAAGTGGAGCAGCCAGGACTTGAGCTGGCACTCGCATAGGATGCCAGCGTCACACGTGTTAGCTTAACCCGCTGTACTACAGCACCAGCTTCCTTGTTTTGTTTTTGAGAGAGAAAACTCCTAACTGCCTGCTTATTCCCCAGATGTCAGCAGCGCTGGCCAGAGCCAGGAGCCGTGAATGCTGTCCAGGTCTCCCACGTGGGTGCATGAACCCAGTCACTTGAGCGACCACTGCTGCCTCCACGGGCCTGCATCGGCAAGAAGCTGGACTCAGGAGCCAGAGCTGGGAATGGAACCCAAGCACTCCGTTGTGGGCTGCAGACATCTTTGCTGGTAGGCTCATTGCCCGCTCCCGAGGCTGATAGATTAAGAACTTCTGTATTAGAAAAATACAGATACGAGGGCCAGCGCCGCGGCTCACTAGGCTAATCCTCCCGCTTTGCGGCACCGGCATACCGGGTTCTAGTCCCGGTCGGGGCGCCGGATTCTGTCCCGGTTGCCCCTCTTCCAGGCCAGCTCTCTGCTGTGGCCAGGGAGTGCAGTGGAGGATGGCCCAAGTGCTTGGGCCCTGCACCCCATGGGAGACCAAGATAAGTACTTGGCTCCTGCCTTCAGATCAGCACGGTGCACCGGCCGCAGCAGCCATTGGAGGGTGAACCAACGGCAAAGGAAGACCTTTTTCTCTGTCTCTCTCTCTCACTGTCCACTCTGCCTGTCAAAAAAAAAAAAAAAAATACAGATACGAAACGGAGAAAGTATTGGCCACAATTTGACCAATATAACTAGGATTACCCCTATTACTATTAAAATAGTTTACAATTCAGTAAAGAAACAACAGAAGTGCCAGCAGTAAACTTGCAGTAAAAGGAACTTTTTAAAAGTCTATTTTTTTTTTTAATTTGAGATTCAGTGACAGAGACAGAGATCTTCCATCCTCTGTTTCACTCCTCAAATGTCAAAAACAGGACTGGGCCAGGCTTAGGTCAGGAGCCAGGAATTCCATCTGCAGTCTCCTACTTGAGTGACAGGTACTCAGACCATCACCGGGTGCCTCTCAGGGTGCACATGAGCAGGAAGTCGGCTTAGAAGTGAGTGAAACAGGACTTTATCCCAGGTACTCTGAGGTGGCCGGCGTGCCGGCGTCCCAAGCAGCAGCTTAGCCTGGGCCAGGCCAAAGCCAGGAGCTTGGAATTCAGTCCAGGTGTCCCATGTGGGTGGCAGGGACCTGAGTACTGGCGCCATCCTCTGCTGCCTTCCCAGGGTGTGCATTAGCAGGAGGCTGGGCCAGAGGCAGAGCCAGACTCAGACCGCACACTCCAGTGTGGGGGGTGGGCATCCCGAGCAGGTGACTTATCGGCTGTGCCAAGTGCTCCCCCCACTCCTGAGCTCAGTGTCTGTGCAGTATCCTGTCCTGTGGGGAGCAACTGGGAGCAACTCGGACTAGACTAAGTTACTGGAATTAAGACTTATTCTATGCATCTGCTCTCCCACAATATGGCGCTGGGAGAGGAGGAAACAGCTTCTACACAGCTGCCTCCAGTTCAACCAATAAACAGCAGGACCTGCTCCTGATTGGAGGAGAGCAGCGTACTGGGCGTGTGGGTAGCAGAGTTGGGATTGGCGGAAGAGGACTATAAAGGAGGAGAGAGACGGCATGCACCAGGAACATCTAAGGGGAACATCTAAGGGGAACACCTGAGCAGCCCCCGAGAGAGCCGGCCGGCGGTGTGCCGCTCCCCCGCGGAAGTGGGGAAAGTGGCAGGGGGAACCGCCCTTCCACGGAGGTGGAAGGGACAGCAGCCAACCCGGGAAGAACCAGCAGCAAACCCGGGGAGGGCCAAGCAGACAAAAGAACAGTGCAGGGTCCTGTGTCGTTCCTCCATGAAGAGGGGGAGCGACACTGTCCTGTCTGTATTCAGTATTTACCGGGAGCATTGTAGTGACTGTGTAACAGTTGAATGTGTGGATCTTGGAAGCAAAATTACGAGGGTCCGTGTGTGGCCTGTATCTGTCCTACCCGGCTCCCGCAGATAGGGGCTCCAGGAGCACTTTCCGGGTCCGTGCCTCGGTCTGTCGTCTGCCTGACGGTGACCCCGTCGCTTCACTTTCCTGTAGTGTGCTTATTTCCCGCTGAGCCCTTGGACGCGTCTGGGCCACCGCCGCCTCTTGGCGGCTGTGACTCAGCCGTTTGGAAGCTGCAAGCAAGGTCTCCAAGACTCTACTTCCGGTAGATGCCCAGAAGGGGGATAGCTGGATCCCCTGGTCGTTCTATCTTTAATCTCTGGAAGAACCGCTGTCCTGTAATGGCCATCCTACCAGCAGCGCACCAGGGCCCCAGCTTGTTACCCTCGGGCAGAACTGTCACCTTCTGTGTTTGGGTTGCTGGGTGTGACTGATAGCACATTGGAGCTGGATTTGTGTTTCCCTGGTTTCCCTGGTGATGAGCGTGCTGGGTATCTCCCACTCAGCTGTGGGCCATTTGTACAGCATCTTCAAAGAAATGCTGATTCAAGTCCCGTGCCCGTTATTTCAGTCAGATTATTTGATATTCTATTAGTATTTTAGTTAAATGTGGCCTTTTACTGTTGAGGAATTTAAAGCAGTTAGCCTGCTGGGTCTGAAATGTAAAACTGACCATGTCATCCCCAGACGGAGGGGATTTCCGGGCTCATCCCAGGATGCAGGAATTTGGATTTTTCTGGGGGGCCGGGAGGGGAGGGAGGATCAGGTGGAGATGACTGACAGGAAGCACCTTACACTTCCTGGAAGCAGGTGTAGCACAAGGGTAGGACTCTGTTTCTTTTCTTTTTTTTTTTTTTTTTTTTAAGATTTATTTATTTATTTGAAAGTCAGAGCTACACAGAGAGAGAAGGGGAGAGAGAGAAAGAGAGGTCTTCCATCTGCTGGTTCACTCCCTAGATGGCCTCGACAGCTGGAGCTGCACTGATCTGAGGCCAGGAGCCAGGAGCTTCTTCTGGGTCTCCTACGCGGGTGCAGGGGCCCAAGGACTTGAGCCATCCTCTACTGCTTTCCCAGGCCATAGCAGAGAGCTGGATCAGAAGTGGAGCAGCCGGGACTTAAACCAACCGGTGCCCATATGGGATGCTGGCACTGCAGGTGGTGGCTTAACCCGCTACGCCACCGCGCCAGCCCCTGCCTTGCTTCTGCTCAGGGAGCAGACCTGCGTGTAGGCTCCACGTCCTGGTCAGCACTGTCTGGTGCAGCCAGGGGAGCCTCCAGGGGACGACAGCAGGGATGTGAACTCTGGAGTCCACCCCACCCGTTACCAGCTGTGCCTGCACAAAGAATATTTGTTTTTTTCCCCTTGTAAAAGTCCGCAAATATGACGTCATGGAGTTGTTCTGAGAACTGGGGGGAATGGAGGTCTAGTGCACAGCTGCAGGCCAGCCTGGACTGCACTCTTCTGCACCTGCCCCTCCCAGAGTTCACACTCAGGGCCCCTTTCCCAGGACCCCAGCACCTGTCAGCGTGGAATGTGTCACACTGGGGCACCATTGCCTCCCTCGGCAGCTTCTCCTGTGAGTCTGTGAGCCCCTGGCCTGCGCCTGTGCCACGAGTAGTGTAGCACAAGTGAATTCTGGAGTTAGGCCGTGAGGAAGTTGTCCAGTGGGTCTCAGGGCTCATTTACGCTCTTAAAAATACTGTAGATGCCAAACACCTTTGGTAAGGTCTTGAGAGTTAAATGCACAAGTTTTAAATTTTTTTTAAAAAGAGATTTACTTATTTATTTGAAAGGCAAAGTTAAAGAAAGATCGCTCTTCATCCGCTTGTTCGCTCTGCAAATGGCCACAGTGGCCAGTGCCGGGTGGGTCCGAAGCCAGGAGTTTCATCCAGGTCTCCCATGTGGGGTGGGTGTCGGGGCCCAAGGGCTTGGGCCATCCTCTGCTGCCTTCCCAGGTGCGTTAGCAAAGAGCTGGATCGGAAGTGGAGCAGCTGGGACTTAAACCGGCGCCCAAATGGGATGCCTGCGCTGTAGGCGCTGACTTTAACCACTGTGCCACAGTGCCAGCCCTAAATGTTGCTTTTAACATATCAATGATAAGCCCATAGCATGTTAACAGATTTTCATGAAAAAGAACTGTTCCCCTCTCCCCTCAGTGAGAAGAGTGGCTTACAGCTTCCCAAGCATCTCTTACGCTGGGCTCACCAGATAGGGGGCGTCCCTTGTGCGCTTCTGCGTTCCGGCCCGCGCTGTGCGGCTGCAGCGCATACAGAAAGTCTGGCCTCACGCAGTTACGCGTGGGCAAGGGAGGACCTCGGGGGCGCCAGGGCTTCTCTGACAAGACATGGAGACCCACCTCTCAGGGCTAGCAGGGGGTCGCTGTCCAGGAGCCAGAGAGGGCTTGGGGCAAACTCGCTGAGTCCAGCTCTCTGTGAAAAGGTTTACCCATTGTCGTTTATTGCCTGTAGATTAAAAAAAAAAAAAATCCCAGAAAGCCTTCATGAGGAAGGGGCTGCAGCAACATGATGGATTCCGAAGCTCATGAGAAGCGGCCGCCGATCCTGGCGGCGTCGAAGCCAGACCGGTCGCCGCACCTGGCTGACGTGGGCGAGCTGAAGCACTACCTGTGCGGCTGCTGCGCGGCCTTCAACAACGTGGCCGTCACCTTCCCCGTCCAGAAGGTCCTCTTCCGGCAGCAGCTGTACGGCATCAAGACGCGCGACGCCGTGCTGCAGCTGCGCCAGGACGGCCTGCGCAACCTGTACCGCGGCATCCTGCCGCCGCTGCTGCAGAAGACCACCACGCTGGCGCTCATGTTCGGCCTCTACGAGGACCTGTCCTGCCTGCTGCACAGGCACGTGCGCGCCCCCGAGTTCGCCACCCGCAGCGTGGCGGCCGTGCTGGCGGGCACCACGGAAGCCGTCTTCACCCCGCTGGAGCGAGTGCAGACGCTGCTGCAGGACCACAGGCATCACGACAAGTTCACGAACACCTACCAGGCCTTCCGGGCACTCAGGCGCCACGGCCTCGGGGAGTACTACCGGGGCCTGGTGCCCATCCTCTTCCGGAACGGATTCAGCAACGTCCTTTTCTTCGGCCTGCGGGGTCCCATCAAGGAGCACCTGCCGACCGCCACGACCCACAGCGCGCACCTGGTCAATGACTTCATCTGCGGGGGTCTGCTGGGCGCCATGCTGGGCTTCCTGTTTTTCCCCATCAACGTTGTGAAAACGCGTATCCAGTCTCAGATCGGCGGGGAGTTCCAGTCTTTCCCCAAGGTCTTTAAAACCATCTGGCTGGAGCGGGACAGGAAACTGATCAACCTCTTCCGGGGCGCCCATCTGAATTACCACCGCTCCCTCATCTCCTGGGGCATCATCAACGCCACGTACGAGTTCCTGCTGAAGGTCGTGTGAGGAGGGGCACTGCCAGGCCGGGCTGTTCTCCAGCGAGGATGCGACCTGGCCGCGTTCCCACTTGGCCCACACAGATGGGCATCCAGGCCACCGTGAGTCGTGGACTAACTTTTCCTTAAGCATCGGCAGAAAGAGAAAAAAGGTTCCACTAGGAAAATGGCGGGGTTCTGATTTGTGTATCACACCCAGGAGCTTCAGGCTGCCGGCCTGGGAAAAGCCGTGCCCCTGGACGGGGCCGCCTGGCCACCGAGCTCGGGCGTCTTCCCCTCGGCAGTCCGTGCGCCTTCTGAATTGAAGCCCACGTGGCCGTGAGCGGCCATGGCCCCGGACTTCCTAGCTGACTCTGTATCTCTGTTTCTGGATCCCCTGCCCTCCAGGGCAGTGGGAAAGGGTGGTGTCCTCCTGGAACTCGGACGTGCACTTGGCGTGGGGCGGGAGCGCACCTTCGAGGCACAGATGTTCCATGATAAAGTGTTTGTGTTCAGTTCTGAAACAGCGCCTGTTGGGATCAACTGTCCATACTGTTTCTATGGAGATGGGAGAATCGAGCAGCTGACACAAGTTACTGTTGTGTTTTCTAGCTTTGTAGATTTTCTGTTGAATTCTGAACGTGACCTTGAGCCCTTCTGAAATATCCTTATGTTTGTGTCACTGCCAAAAGTCAGGAGGACTTGAATTTTGTTAACAGGTGTTCCGTCCTGTTAAGAAATCGTTACTTGCTTATAGATCAAACTCTGTCCACTCGGTCTCTGAATTCTTGGTGCCAACTTAGCAGAGTTTTGTCTTTTTTTTCTCTTTGAGTAGTAATTTGTCCTATATAAGCTCCTGTTCTCTTAAAACTATGCTTTTGAGAAATAAACAAGCACTTCCATGAAATTTTATTTTGGAAGTCTGTGAGTGCCCCACATTTTTCCCCCTGGTTTCTGACTGCTGAGGGGGACGTGGGCCACAGGCTCCGAAGGCCTCTGCCCCATCGTCTCTTACTTTACTGCTGGACACGGAGACGAGGACTTTGACATTTTGACATCCTGTGTCATCAAAACAGTGAGAGCAGACAAGCTACAGAAAGACATCTGGAAGGTTCTGAATCCTCCTCCCTCACCTCGTGCTCTATCTGTCAGGGGAATTAGAAAATAGTTAAATATCCCAGCGAGTACAGCACAGTGACGCACACGCCAGTGGACACACGCCTGCGGGAACAGTGGCTCAGGCACCTCGTGACCCCTCGCCCTCTGTAGAGGAGGCGGCTTCCGGCGTCCGCCGTGACCAGTGTCCCATCGTCCTGGTGGCCGCCTGTGAACACGTGTGCGTACTGGCTGGAGTAAGAACCCGGTCTCCACTGCCTGTTCCCTCCAAGTTTCTGTGCAAAGCCCAGAAGCGCTGTTGCCCTCCGTGTGCAGTGAGGAGGAGGAGGAAGGTGCACGGCAGCGGGTGCAGGCACCTGTCGGTGCTGCGCTAGAGAAAGCATTTGCTGTCCAGTCAAGATGCGAGTGGAAGGGTTTCAGAACAGGACACCAAATAAATGCCGGGAGCCTCTTTGGGCCGCTGCATAGTCAGGGATCGGGTTTCAGGCATGAATGAAGGTGCCGCTGTCCCTGCTATGTGTGTGACCCTGGGTGCTCAGCGAGGCAGGGTGAGCTCGCCCGGGCCGTAATCAGGCCCTGGGAATGCACTCCTGGGGGCTGGCTTTTGTCTTCACACTCCAGGCAGGTGACAGAATGCCAGTCTGAAGCCCTCTGCTGAAATACAAGTGAGGGAAGGCTTCTGAGGAAAGCGCTGTCTCAGGTGTGCGGCGCTGGAAGGTATTTTTCATGGTTTTAGCTCATTGCTTTCATTTGTCACTTTCTACAGCTTTTGAAGACCAAACTGCAGACACATCGCCGGGGTGGTTCTGGGTTGTCCTGTAGACTTGGATAAGTTGACAACAGAGTCAACAGAACTTGTAGCCAGCTGCTTCGTCTGCCCTTGAAGTCAAAATGTGTTGGGCATAAGGGATTCTCAGCGCTGGTTCTAGCTTCCGTGCGGACCAGCACGGTCGGATGACAAAGGCAGACATGACGGGAGCCAGCTGCACAGCTTTAGCTTGGCCTTTCTGTTCCGTGCGCGTCACAGCTCCTGCGCACAGGACCCTGTCCCCCGTGTCTGTGGCGTGAGACCTCAGGGCCGCCTCGCAGAGTAAACACAGCCTTCACGTGGTGATCAGTTAGTGCGTCACCTGTTTCCTTCATGCCTGGCAACACAGATGATGTGTTTTTGTCTAAATAGTCAATACCCATCTTAACTTATGGTTGCTTATCTAATCACTCGCCAGCTCCGGCGAATGTGCAGTAAGAATGGCGTATTGTGGCTCTTTCTCAACGCCTGCAGCAATACTCGCTGTACGGCCCCGCGGTGTGCAAGAGTGGGGAGCAGACGGGCCGTGTGGTGGGGTCCGGGGGGCTGGCTCGGGGCTGCCGATCCTGTGTGCCCACACTGGCTCAGCTGGACGAAGCGCCCCGGGGTGGGGGTGGGGGGGTGCGGCCTTTGTGTGCAGGTGCCACAGGACTTGGTTTCTTTCTAATGAAAATATTCCTGTTTCCTTATGTGCAAATAACTTGCATACCGAAGACTTGAAGAGGCATTCTCCCTGGATTTGAGGAGGACTTTCCATTTCCAATCCCGTCTTTTTGCTTGATGTTAAATACTCGCTCGCCTCCGTGGCCCCCGCGCGGTGTGTGTGCCTGGGGTCTGCACACGTCTCTCTGACAGTTCATTATTAAAAGTGACCACGCACAGAACTACTGGTCTGACATTTTGAGTCACGTGACCGGATGATTGGCATGAAGTCTGCTGGATGTTTCAGAGTCGACAGCCCCTTTTTGGGGAATTGTAATAAAGTTGTTTTTTTAAGTCCATCCTCTTTGGTCTTCTCTGTGGCGGGCTTCCCATGGTACCTTTGGCTGCTGGTCTTTTCTTGATAAAACGCCCCGCACCCTCCGGGGTTTGGCAGAGAGGGCGACCCTTATTTCTCCATCGTGCTGCTCAGGAAGGGTTCCAGGGGGCTCACTCGCCAGGTGCTGCTACTCTTCAGAGGTCCTCAAACTTGTTCAATGTCGTCCCTACTGCGCATGCGCTGTCTGGATCCCCCGAGCTTCTTGGCCATTTCTTTTGTGCCTTCAGGCCATGCTTACCCCCAAGGAAAGTGGCCCAAGTGTTTGCTTTTTATAAAATGCTTACTTATTTGCAAGAGCGACAGGTCTCGCACCTGCTGGTTCACCCTCCAGAAGCCCACAAAAGCCAGGGCTGAGCCCGGTGGTGGAAACCAGGGGCCCAGAGCGCCAGCCAGGTCCCCCGCGGGAGGCAGGGACTCAAGACGTGAGCCTTGCAGCGTGTGCGTCAGCATGGCGCTGGGTCAAAGCCCAGAGTAACGGACGGGAACCCCGCCCACCCGCGTGGGGTACATGGGCTGACCACAGCCCTGCCCGGGCCTTGCCTCTGTCTGTCCTGCCCTCACAGCCGCTCCTTTCTGCTGTAGAGAATCGGCTAGGAGAGAAGCCCCACTGTTGGTTCTCATGTTGGTTTCCATGTTAAATTGCGCCTTGCCCAGGGTGGCTGGGCCAGGGACCGGTTGCCATTTAATGCTTCTAAAATTCCAGGTTGGGATAGGAACCCATCAGGATGAGAAAGGCTAATTTCCAGAATTTCTGAACGAATGATAGCAGAGCTGTCATACATCTGATGAGCAGTCACTAGCCTACCCTAGCAGAGGGCGTGGCCCTGGCGGCTCTCCTCACCTTCCTACCATGTGAACACACCTAATTCGGAGGATCCCATGGAGGCTGAACACGGGATTCATCCAGATTCTCGGCTCCCTCCTTTCTACATTTTGTTGTCAAGATTGTTCTTTAATGAAATGTCACTTCGTTCAGCAAATGCCTTCCCCTGCCTCCGCCGTGAAGACCAGACACCTTGGCCCCTGGTTCCTTTCTGAAGCTGGCGCGGTCTGCACTTGAGCCACGGCCACGTCTCTGCTGCCAGCCTCTGCCCTTGCCAGTCCTGGGCCCCGAACGATGCCCTGCCCAGCTTCACTTGTGAGCTCCGACAGTCCCACCGCTTGCCCCGCGAAGCCGGCTCAGCCCGCACTGCCGGCCGCCCGTCACGGGCTCCTGCCTCACGGCCCGATTCATGGTGCTTCCTTTAGCTGTGCTCTGCTGAGTTTATGTTGCACCCGGCATGCCAGCTCCGTAAAGAAGGCACCTTCTTGTTCTACTTCCACCATCTCTGGTGCCTGCCACTCACCTGGGAGATGTCTGACAAACGTTTCTCATATTTTTAAAAGATTGATTTATTTGAAAGGCAGAGATAGAAGGAGAAAGAAAGAGACCTTCCATCTGCTGGTTCATTCCCCAAATGGTCGCAACCACAAGAGGCTGGGCCAGGCCAAAGCCAGGAGCAAGGAGCTTCCTCCGAGTCTCCCACACGGATGCAGGGACCCAAGCACCAAGACCATCTTCTGGTGCCTTCCCAGGCACATTAGCAGAGAGCTGGATTGGAAGTAGAGCAGCTGGGATTCGAACCGGTGCCCACACAGGATGCTGGCAATGCAGGTGGAGGCCCCATCCCTCGTTTTTTTAAAAAAGATATTTATTTGAAAGGGTTGCAGAGAGAGAGAGATCTTTCATTCACTGGGTCACTTCCCAAATGGCCAGCGCTGGGCCAGGCCAAACCCAGGATCCAGGAACTCAATAATCCCGGTCTCCCACATGGGTGCAGGAGCCCAGGCACTTGGGCCATCTTCCATTGCTTTCCCAGGCACAGGGAGCTCAATCGAAAGTGGAGCAGCTGAGACTGAAACAGGTGCTCACATGGGATGCCGGCATCGTAGGTGGCAGCTTACCCCACTGCACCACGACACTGGCCCCTGCTAAGCACTTGTTTTCTGAGAACTGATGGAGGAGGGACACAGCGCCACCTGTCACGGCATTTGGCAGCATCCTATCCGACCCTCCTTTGTTGATGGCTCATGGTTGCTGTCAAGGAAAAAGTAACTTTTGCCCTGACCTCAAGGTGCCGGGGTCCCTCGGGCTGCGGGAAGAGAGCAGCCCAGGCTGCTGGCGTACCTGACACTGCGGGGGATGCGGTCCCCAGGAGGGCTCTCCCTCTGGTTGGCACTCAGATCTCGCCTCACCCCAATCACCTCCTAAGGCCACCTCCAAATGCCCTGAGTGGGACGCGAACATTCAGTGCGGAATGAGAGCTGCACGGCTGATGGAAGCTTCCTTACTCTCCCGCTTTGCGAAACACTCAGAGAGATACACCGTGTGGGCGGGCCGGCCGTGGGGTGCCCCTGGGGACCCCCCACCCCACACTGGAGCGGCGGCTTGTCCCAGCTCCTCCGCTTCTGATCCGGCCCTCTGCTAGTGCACCTAGGAAAGCAGCAGAAGACGGCCCCAGTGCCCGGGCCTCTGCACCCGCGTGGGAGACCCAGACGGAGTTCCAGGCTCCTGGCTTCAGTCTGGTGCAGCCCAGGCTGTTCGCGGGCATTTGGGGAGTGAACCAGCAACTGGAAGTTTCTCTCCACACCCCCCCATCACCACCACGTCCCCCTGTCCTGCTCTGCCTCTCAAGTAGCCAAAAATCAATAAGCCTTTTGAAAACATCTGGGCATAAGATGCAAAGGGTCAGGCACTCTGCCTTTCTTATCTGCCTCGTTCTTGGTGGTGGAGCCAACCCCGCCAGTAGACGAGGGCAGGAAGAAAGCCGCTGAGTGCGCCGCCAGTGTCCAGGCGCCGGGAAGGTGTAGCCGTGCCCGAGACCCTGAGACCCCCGAGCCCTCGCCTCCGGAGCTCGGACGGCTTCCGCTTCACCGAGCTGAGCGGCGAGCTGTAGGCAGGGCAGCCGCCTGCTCCTGCCGCCGGAGCGCAGCGCAGTTTGCTGTCCCCGGGAGGTAATCCAGCAGAAGGCAACAATCTGCCACGGCCGCCACAGGCCTGCGGTAAGGAGCGTTCTCCTTCGCCTTGGACCAAACAACAACGAAGCTTCAGGATTTTCCTTAGTTCAGACTCTTCTGGGCCCAAGCCTCGTCCCCGGCGGCCAGTGCGTCTCACGGGAACTTGCGGGGGAGGCCGGCAGCTACAGAGGGAAGAAGCCCCTGGGGCCGAGGGGGAGCCCCGAGAGCTGCGGCTCCCTCATTGCCAGGGCTGCCTCCTGCTGTCCAACGTGGCTTTGGGCGCTGAGCGGGAGACGCAGGGCGCAGGCTGCGTGCGAAGCGCGGCTCTGGGCCCCGCGACCCCCGACAGCCCCCCAGGCGGGATGGAGTTCCCCTCGGGGCCGGGAGGACGCCTTCCCGCCCTGGTCTGGCTCCGCGGCGCGGTCCCCGTCCTTGGTGTGCCCGTGACCTCGCCGAGGGCCGGGCGCTCGTAGCCGCGGTCTCTGGCGGGAGTCGCAGGCCGAACCCACACCGTCGGCATCAGCGAGCCCGTGGACGCCTCAGGAATCTTGTCTGGATCGCCCACCTCTGGGGATACCTAGGAGGGACTGCGGGCCCGGAGCGCTGACGGAGGCAGCTGGGCGGAGGGGGGAGGGAGAACAGCGGTGACCTCCGGCTGCGCCGAGGGCCCTGGCCAGCCCGTGGGGCTGCCCCGAGGCTTAGCCAGAGCCTGAGTTACTGGGACAACAGCCATCTGTTTGGGGGGCTGGCGCTGTGGCGTAACATGGTAAGCCTCTGCCTGCAGTGCCGGCATCCCGCATGGGTACCAGTTCGAGTCCCGGCTACTTCTTTTCTGATCCAGCTCCCTGCTATGGCCTGGGAGAGCAGTAGAAAATGGCCCAAGTGCTTGGGCCCCTGCACCCAAAGCTCCTGGCTCCCGGCTTAGGCCTGAGGCAGTTGCTTCCATTTGGGGAGTGAACCAGTGGATGGAAGATCTCGCTCTGTCTCTCCCCACCCCCCCCCAATTCTGACTTTCAAATAAATAAACCTTTTTAAAAGAATGTTTGTGTGAGCTCAGCTGACTTGCGCTTAATATCCATGCACTTCACCGGACGTGCATTCCACAGCGGCGGAAAAAATTAAACGCAGAGCTCCAGGCAGCGATCTGCAGGTGGAGGATTTCTTTTTTTTTTTTTTTAATTTTTTTTTGACAGGCAGAGTGGACAGTCAGAGAGACAGAGAGAGAAAGGTCTTCCTTTGCCGTTGGTTCACCCTCCAATGGCCGCCGCTGCAGCCGGCGCACCGCGCTGATCCGATGGCAGGAGCCAGGAGCCAGGTGCTTTTCCTGGTCTCCCATGGGGTGCAGGGCCCAAGCACCTGGGCCATCCTCCACTGCACTCCCTGGCCATAGCAGAGAGCTGGCCTGGAAGAGGGGCAACCGGGACAGAATCCGGCACCCCGACCGGGACTAGAACCCGGTGTGCCGGCGCCGCAAGGTGGAGGATTAGCCTATTGAGCCACGGCGCCGGATTTCTGACAAAGGTGGGTCCGGATGCCGGCAGCTGATGCAGACCATCTGAACTGAGCCCATGGCTGGCTGAGTTGGGTAAGAGGAGCAGCGCCGGGAGCTGCTGCTGGCGGAACCTCGGTAAACCCGAGCTCTCCACAGTTCCTTCCTCTCGCAGACATTTGAACGCATTCGTCATAAGGCGCTGGGACCCTTCCGTAGGGAGCTTCCCACAGAGCACCGCGTGTCAGCAGTAAGGTGAGGGCCTCCGTCCAGATCACAGCATGCCGCGCCGGCCGCAAGGGGGCACTGTGGCCTGGGAGTTAATTATCTTGCTGTGACAGATACTGATGCAGGCAGTGTTGTGACAGAGCCGGGCAAGCCGCTGGGACACCGCCTCCGTGTGGGAACCCTGGGAGCCAGCCCCACCTCCGCTTCTCATCCAGCTTCCTGCTAGTGCACACCCTGGGAGGAGGCAG